TGAAGAAACTATATTTACAACTCTCAGGCTGCCACGATTTAGAGTTTCAGGGAAAAGGCCTCTGCTTGCAAAAATTAATACATCTTACTGGGCTGCTTTAAAACACACACAACCCCTCCCCCCACAAATGACCTGTTAAAGATACTCTCTAATGCTGTGTATGGAATAATAGTTTAAAACTAACTATCTGTTTTTTATTAATTTATAAAATATACAATATATGTGAATTAACACAATCTTATATTTAACTAGTCATACAAACTCCCAAAAGCTTAAAAAATAGTCCCCCTTGCATGGCTGGCCATGCTTATATATTGCAGCAAACATAAAACATTTGCTCCAAGTAAGCAGGGGGAATACGGAAAGAAGTAAATAACATTGCTGTAAAATTACCTTTTCTCCGGTGGCATCACACATGTAACATTTGAAATGCTAATAGTTTGGCTGAAACAGGCACTGGAGGGAGCTGGTCTTCATTAAAAACACAGTTCTTGACAATAACAAATTTAGAGTCCCATGGCACCTTTAAGACCAGCAAAGACTTGATAAAGTATTTGATAAAGTGTGCGTGCACACGAAAGCTCATACCTTGAATAAACCTTTGATGGTCTTAAAGGTGCCACTGGACTCTAAATCTGTTGTACTGCTTCAGACCAACATGGCTGACCAACTGGATCAGTTCTTGACAATAGTGCGTGGAAAACAACACTGAACCCTGCTTATAGGCTGGGGGGGGGCCTCGGAGAGAGGAGTCCTAGATAATTTTTAAAGCCATTTTGTCTGGAAATGTTTTACACTTGTAGTATGCTTTGAACATCATTTTATGGCATTGAGATTCTTCTTTGGTTCATAACTCAGAATACCACATGGTTCACAACTAGTGTCTCTTCTAAGACTGCCTCTTATAATCAGTTATATCCACCACTGGTGAAAGTTTAGAGGCTCAGCCCTACCTTTGCTGCAGGATGGCCCATGAAAGTCTTGAGAGATTTTTCTAACATGTCAACCATCTGTAGAAAAATTCAGATGCTATGAAGAAAAGGCATCTGAAAAGCCAAGAATGCTTTTATAATCCTGCCAAAGACGGGGATATGGCTATCTGGTGAACACCCCCTAACAGACAAAAGAGGAAAGGGCCAAAGCTCTGGCAAGAGAGGTCTCCCCTTTTTTGCCATCCAGTGAGCAGAAATACTGATGGTTTTGGATCCTATAAAAGGAAGGAAAAAAACCAAGATGTGACACTGAATTGTACACAAACACATTGAACAGTTTAGTGATTAATTGTTGTAGATTTTCCAAGCTGTATGGCTATGGTCTTGGCATTGTAGTACCTGACGTTTCGCCTGCAGCTGTGACTGGCATCCTCAGAGGTATAACACAGAAAGATGGAGTACTCTGTGTGTCAATGTGAGAAGTAAAATGGTAGGCAGGTAATTTATGTTTTATCCTGTTTTTATGTATGGGCTTGTGCCCTCTTGTAAGCCGCTCTGTGCCCGCTCGCAGGGAGGGCGGGGTAAAAATGTTAACAATAAATAAATAAATATCTACTCAGGAAGGTGTGGTAGGGCTGAGTCATTATCATGTAGGAGTCTCCCAGGCTGTGACGTGCTAGTGGAGGAGCTTTCCTGAGGAAGTTCTTCGGCATATGCCAATGTCAGATACTACAATGCCAAGACCACAGCCATACAGGCCGGAAAATCTATAATGAACTCTGGCTGTGAAAGCCTTCGACAACATATTTAGTCATTAACTTGTCATTTTGAATAAGAGTCAGCAAGCAGTTTTATTTTCTATTTGCCTATACAGTTGAAGTTATAATACAGCCGCATAAAAGGGGATGTTGGAACCAAACATCCTCAGCAGAGCAAATTCTTTAAGACCAATTCTGCTAATTTAGACTGGTGCGAGGGGTGGGGGTAGATCAGTACAAGTGGATGGCAGGGAAACTCTCTGTAAAGATCAAAACAAAGAGAAATTGTTTTCTAGAAGCAAGATTTAAAATACCATAGGGGCTACATCTGAATTTCTCAGGTACTGAGATGTTAGAATGGTCAGATGTATGTAAATGCTAGTGAAAGTGTCTGGAATTTTTTGAAATAATGGTCTTGTAGTCATCACGTCTGACTCTTTTGATATTAGAAATGTATAGTTTCTTTCTATAATCAAAGACTGGTTTTCTTTTTCTGTCCAGATAATCCAATTTATGTAGTTTTCTCAGACGGTCAATGAATGTAGGTAGCAGTACTCAAAAATGTCCTCATACAGGGAATATAGCCACTTGCACTGCAATGGGTAAATGACCACCCCCCCATGAAGATTGTTAAAGGAATCTACTCCAGGGAGTAAGATATGCACACACCCCATAGAGGCAGCTTCTTTGCAGTGAGGGCCTTATTAAGTATAGTGGTTAGTATGATCCCCATCCCACCCAGCTCTCAACAGAGACAAAATATACTTACTATATGGTTTCTTCAGTGTCTGTTACTTTGTTTCCTGAAATAATGAGAATATATGAAATATTCTAGCATCCTTTGTTTGGCATACATCACTGAACAAATCTTTAATGCAAGGAACTTCATTGTTCTGAATATTGTTAAGCTCCACCGATATTGTTAACTGTTGCAGAACTCAAAAAGGAGCAGTACTGAGCCAGTGTAGTGTAATGGTTAGAGTGTCAGACAAGGATCTGAGAGACCCAGGTTTGGACTCCCACTCTGCTACAGAAGCTTGCTGGGTGACCTTAGGCAAGTCACATACTCAGGCTAAACTGCCTCACAGGGTTGTTGTGAGGATAAAATGGAGGAGGGGGGAAAAAACCAGGGTGTTTAGTCATGCCGGCCATATGACCACGGAAATGTCTTCGGACAGCGCTGGCTCTTCGGCTTTGAAACGGAGATGAGCACTGCAACCCTAGAGTCGGATTCGACTGGCTTTCGAGCAAGGGAATCTTTACCTTTTACTATAAATGAAGTAAATAATAAATAACAATACAAAACATGGTCAAAGGTTTAAGTACCCAAGCAGCCTAACCTCTCCAAGAGGTAAAATTCAGTTTGGAAGGGTTTCTGCTGTCCTGAACTGTTGTTACTGTGAGAAATCATAAGCTGGGCACTAAATTCTTTTGGTTTTTTCTCATGGCTATGTTTTGGCATAAAGACACTGAAGCTTCTTTACATCTGCGTACCTGCTGACTGCTTTATTTGGAACCGTACTCTCACAGCTCTCCTTGTAGCAGACATCCTGGTGGACTTTGTAGACCCGCTTGTATCTGTCACGACAGCAAACAGCGTGTCAGAGAATGCAGGCATTGCAATGGGCTCTGAAGGTAAGTACGGACAGATAACAAAGGAATTCCATCACTTTGGTTCCAAGACATATGGCTTGCGAGCAGCCTAACAGGCCATTTTCTATGGCTAACTGAGACATACCCATGTCTACCCAAGATTGGGGGGGGGGGGCAGGGCTGAAAAGCAGCTAGGTCTTTAATTTAAGAGGATGTGAGAGAAACCTATACACAAAAGGAGATGTTTCAATCATGCACCCTTATGTGGCATACAATGGACCTTCTGTGTGAAGTGAGAGAAACCATCCTAAAATATCAAATGTCACTAGGATACATTTCCACATGAATTAGCACTAGCTTCAGACGTGTAGTTATGATGAGGGGAAGGGATTTAGGGAGAGGCACTGTGGTGGGGGGCTCTGGTTTGGAATAGTCCACCTAAAATAGTGCCATTTTCGTACATGCCAGAAAACCTTTCTTCCCAGGCTGATGCAGATTTCAACCATGCATGTTATGAGGTAAACCAAAAGGTAATTTTGGTGTGCCGTGTAGCCTAAATGTCCCAAAGTTGCCTCTTGAGGTCCATGTTTCTTATTTACATACATGATCCATTTATTGCACTATTTGGAAGCAGCTTGTTACTGAATCAGACTACTGGTCTACCAAAGTTCAGTATTACAACTGGATTCGAATCCAGTAGCACCCTAGCGAACAACATGGTTTTCTGGGTATGGGCTTTTGAGAGGGATTAGCTTTTTGGAAGGGAGCTCTGGCTCTTAAAAGCTCATACCCTGAAAATCTTGCTGGTCTCTAAAGTGCTTCAGGACTTGAATCCAGCTGTTCTCCTGCAGACCAACCAGGCAGAGGCATCTCACATACCTACTAGCTGATCCTTTAAACTGGGGGTTGAAGGGACCCTTCTGCATACCGAGCAGACGCTCTGTGGCTGCTACTGAGCCACAGGCTCTCCCATTCTTAGACTATTGATGAGAACAATCACACTAGAGCTGTATCTTGCTCTTTAATTCTATAGCTGGAAGAAAGGTAAGAGTGATCAGAGTGGGATTATGCTTACAAGTAATGGCAGACACCTCCTTCCCAGACTGGAAAGGACTTGGTTTCTGAATAGAGCCGAGTACAAGAGTGAGGCACCTTCTTGCAGGCTGAAAGAAATTGGGAAGGTAGGACGAGAGATGTTTTAGTGTCAAAAGCTGTATTTAATGCAGATAGGCCTTTCAACTTCTTTTTCTTTGTATTAATAGTCCTGTTGTCTAAACACAAAGAATACACCTAAAATGGGTGAGTGGGAGGAGAAGCTCCTTAAACCTACAAGCTGGAAAGGGAGAGCACATTCAGCCCAAATGGGGGTGGTTGTACTGGATCTTTGCAATAGATGGATATGCTGTTCCTCATGCAGTAGAACATCATGCCTGAGTTCACTACAAGGCCAATGCTTAGGTACTTTGGTAGTTAGGGACGCAGTAGTGCAACCAACACACACAGCAGCTGAACTAATTCATAGAATCATAGAATGTTAGAGTTGGAGGGGACCTAGCAGGTCATCTAGTCCAACCCCCTGCACTCTGCAGGGGTTCACTATCTTACCACACACAATAGGGACAGCTTCAGACTTTATTTTCCAATTGTGCCTCTGCCCACCGGCACAAAGCAGAGAGAGGAAATCTTGTAGCTGCTTTATTTCTGTCATGCAAGTATACAGTCAGTTCTCACTGACACTGTTTTTGCTGCCTCATGCAGCTATTCCACTTGGTAAGTTCTGCATTAGTTCAAGTCATTGTTTATCTCCATGGTACTGTAACTGTGGAAACCAGTGGCTGAGAGGCTACATCTTTTAAGAGTAGGGCTTTGAACAGATGGATTGTAGTGTGGCTTCTCTTAAACTATTTGCTCCAGTAGCACAAAGACAGGGCAGCTGAGAGAACTCTGCTAGCTGCATACTCCTTAACTTACCGAGTTCACAGTGTCTGCCTTTGTATCCAGGATTACAATCACAGTGGTAGGACTCTGAGCCAGTGACACAGGTACCCCCATTCTTGCAGAAGTTTATGGAACAGTTCTGCTTGTCATCTGCAGATGCAAAGGATGAGATGAGATAGTCTGCACAGCACACTCCAATATAACGAGACAATTCCTCTGCTCCTCTGAGGAGGTACGGAGGGCAACTTTCAGACTTTAAAGTAGGTGCAACACATTCAAGTAAAGGTCAGTTCTTTATCTTTCATGACTGTCACCAATACATGTTTTAAGTTTGCATGCAGGACTGAGGCTGTGATCCTGCTAGAAAATAGGAAATGTGTTGTTGACAGCTCATCTCCATGCCAAGCCTACGGGTGAGGCGAGGCTTGTCAGTCAGTAATCACATATTACAGTATCAATGCATACTGTAAGTGATTGTGCTGTGATCATTAATTAGCTCTGCACAACCTTATACATAGCTAATCCATACAGATTTCCTTATCTGGTAGATAGCTGGGTGCAGCGATAATATTTAAAAGCTGAAAGTGGTTTCTCTTACTGTTGTCTATGGTCAAATACAAAACCCTGCAAAATCTGTTTGCTAGAGACAACAAGAAATGGGACATATATTGCACACCTTAAAACAGCTACATTGGCTGCTAGTTTGTTTCTGAGTCCAATTCAAAGTGTTAGTTATGATCTTTATAAAGCCCTTTACAGTGCAGGACACACTAAGGTAAAGGATCATTTCCCTCCATATGTCCTGTTGTACCAATTACAGTCTTCAGGCTGCCACCTACTGGCTGTTCCTCCGCTCAGGGAGGCCTGCCTGGCAGCAACCAGAGCCCATGCCTTTCCCATGGTAGTGCTCACTCTGTACAACAGGCTCCCTAAGATGAGGGGAGCATCATCAGGAATATTCAGGAGATGCTGCAAACCTATTTTACTTGCCTGGCCTTTTAATAGACTGCAAGCATCTTATGTGTGTGTGTGTGTGTGGGGGAATATCTGAGGTTTTATACTATTGGTTTTAAATCATAATGTTTTCACTGACATGTAAGCCATCTTTAGCCACAGGGAAAGGCAGGATATAAACATTTCAATTAATAAATAAAGAGGAATAAGTGTATGTGCCCATTTTGGTTAGTGTCGTGGTTAAGTGCGTGGAGTCTAATCTGGGAGAACCGTGCTTGATTCCCCACTCTTCCACTTGCAGCTGCTGGATGATCTTGGACAAGCCATAGTTCTCTGACAAGAGCTGTCCTTGAAAGAGCAGTTCTTGAAAGAGTTCTCTCAGCCCCACCTACCTCACAGAGTGTCTGTTGTGGGGAGGGGAAGGGAAAGGAGTTTGTAAGCTGCTCTGAGACTCCGAGTGAAGGGCAGGGTATAAATCCATTCTCTTCTTCTAAATTGTCTTAACATCTGAAAACATTGTTATGAAGGTAGACTGCATCTTGTGCCAATTACACTGGCAGCCAGTATGCCTCTGTGCCATGTCGGTCCATGGTACCTGGCAGGCCACCTCATTGCAGGAATCCCCATCAGGAAAATCTGTCAGTGGGAATTTACATGAGGCCTTTTCAGCAGCTGTCCTACTGATTCGCCTTAGTACTACATTCGTCTCTTTCTCTTGAGGTATTCCAGCATCCACTGAAAATGTTTTATTTATGAAAGCTTTTTTGATTTATATATGTACCTCATGTTAATAAGTTTTAATTGACAGCTATTTTCAATGGTTTTGTAAGGATTTTATTTGTGTAAGCCTACTTGAGTATTTTTAAAATACAAATGATGATGTAAACTTTTAAATGGAGAGGATTCTTCTGCTGGTCCTGCTCTCTCTACATGCCCACAAACAGAGGAGTCCTGTCTGTTTCTTAGGCTTGTAACTCTTGGGCTATTGAGCCCATCAACATCAACACCAGGGCTCAGTTTTTGAGAATTAAATTGTCATTATCTGAAGACGAGTCAGAAGGTGCTGGGATTAGCCTAGCTTCTCAAATTTGGGGAGAGAACCTCAAGATGCTTCCTTTCCCTATCTGAACCAGCCCTAGATACACTAGCTTCCCTTTCTGCTGGCTTAAAGTCCCACATTTAATGGTTTCAGTATTGCAAACTATGGCAGAGTGCTAAGGACAACTGTGGAAACTGGTACTTCAGAAGTATGGTGCAAGGCAACAGACTGAAGACTGCAGCAACTGGATAAGGAAGGAATGAAGCACCAGTCAAACCAGAGACAGGTGGGTGAAATCCATCTTTCTTTAACCTATGAAAACTGCAGCTTCCAGTAACAATCTAATACCTGCTAACTGGTGATACCCTACCAAAAATGCTGGACTAGATGGACTGATCTCATCCTAATTCCACATGGGCATCCACATTTGTTTGTAGCAGCAAAATGGAACAAAAGTCTAATGGCATTGTAAAGATTAACCAAATTTATTCCAGCGTAAACTTTCATGAGTTGAAGCTCTCTTTATTAGATACATCTGATGAAGTCAGCTCTGTCGCACAAAAGTTTATGCTGGAATACGTTTCGTTAGTCTTGCAGGTACTACTGGATTTCTTTTTTAGTTCTTATCCTATGTCATTTGTGGGCTATATAATTCAGTGAATGTGTGAGAAAGAATAACTGATAAAAAAGTGGAAGAGGTTTCACCGCTACAGCTGGTTCAGTTACCTTTCAGATTTCTAGTGAGAGCTATTCTTATCTTCCTAGCATAAAGCTCTGTAAGAGCCTAAATTCTAACCACTATCATAACATCCTGCAAGGCAAGTTCTTAAGCAAAACTGCACACTTAGAAACACCTAATAATTATTTAGTTATGTCTTACTTGCTAAGCAAACTGGAGGGTGTACTCTCGCTTTGTAAATTTAACTTGTCAGTGGACCACAGGGATTCTAGTTTGTTTTCTAAAGTAGGCTATGCAAGACTAAACTTAGCTATCCTTCATATACCACTAGGGTGACGAGATGCAAAGAAAGATATGTGGGAAAAGTAGTTCCTGCTACAATTCTGTACTACTTGTGCAAGAGCTCCCTCCTTCTTTGCAGCTGGGCACTCATAATGTGATGGTAGATCTGGTTTTGAAGATCAAAGCTGACTGAGACTGAGGACAGGGTCTGGTACTGTGCTAGTTAGGCTGCGGTCACACGGAACATTAGCCATGCGAGTCAGACGGAAGACATGCGGGTTTTCCGGGCGCGATCTCACCGGCACATCTGGGAAGTGTAGCACTCCCGTGGCTCAAACGAGGCTTCCTGCCGAAACCACGCGGCAAAAAACTAGTACCTCCGAGGTACTAGTTTCCGGAAACCGCGGGGCAAGGGCGGGCGTCTGATCGCGTTTCCGGTGGCATCCGGCGCCCGCCCATGTTCCCTGGCGAAAAAGTTTTTTTTTTCTTCAAGTCTTTGTGGATGCGCAAAAGCACACAACGGAGCATGCGCAGTCATGGTGTGAATTAAAAAAAACCTTCCAGTTTGCCGCACCGCGCACTTCGTTTTTGCGCGCGGGATTGTCCTGCGATCGGCACCTCTCCTTTCCCACGGAACCTCCACAGTACCTCCACGGGAGGTCTGATCAGGTAACCGCGCCTTAGTTTGCCCCGGGGCAAACTGCCACACTTCCCCCCCGCAGTTTCCTGCCCGTGTGACCGGGACCTTAGTTTTCTAACCCCTCTTCAGACTTACTTTCTTTTTTGCTGCTCTCGGGCTCTGATAGCTGCAGTGCCAGGCTGGCTTGATTGGTGGATTCTTCTATGTTGTCTTCCACTTTCTTTGGAGCATCAGGTTCTAGAAGAATGATCCAGCAATACTTTAAGCACAAGGACTTGTGCAATAGTTGTGCAATAAAGGAAGAAAAGAGGATGGAGGGCACCTACGTGTTCTCACAGTGACATGTCTACTTGGTGAGCTGCTAAATTTAGTGGTGATCCTTCCCCTGCCATCCACCAGCTCTGTAAACCTTCACAAGAAAAAAAAAAGACTAGGCTGTTACTCACGAAACACCTACAGTGGAACTGACGCACCCGAACTTCAGCATCTCATGAACCAATCCATGTTCATTTTGTTTGATAGCTGAGCTCCCGATGACCCAGTTCTTTACCTAGGTGCTTGTGAAGGCTCCTCTGGGGTGTTGTGATCTGCAAGCAGGCGCAAATCTGGCAAGTATGCTGGGGGGACCCGATTTCTCAGTACTCGAGGATGTCCTGTTTGGCTCCAGCGCCTTTCTGGAGTACCATCCTTCTGCACTGTAAACCAGAATAATACATTTAGCCATATGGAAATAGTCACCCAGAAGGAGAAAAAAAGTATCAGGAAATCATGTAAGAAACCCCACTGAGGTCCTGGTCCTCCTCAGGCACCATCTTCAAATCTCCAGAAGTTTCCCCACCTGGATCTGCACTCTTACCCCACCCCTTCCCCCGCTGTTGACTAGCGGTACCTGGGGATCCTACATATGAAGAATGGAGTCTACACTTACAGGCTGTAATGTAGAGATGGGCAGGTTCACTGGTCACTTGACCCTGATCTGTGTTCTGAACAGCGGTCACAGATAAGCGATATCTTTGCCCTGGTTTCAGGTCACGCACAGTGTAGGAGGTCAGCTTTCCATTGGGCACATAGCGGCTCTTCACGCTCTGACTGGTGGTTTCATTGATGATATATCCTTCCCCTGAGCCAACCAGGGGCTGTTCCCATATCATATGAACAGAGGTAGCAGTGATTCTAGATGCAGTCAGGTTCCTAGGAGGAAGAGGGCCTGTTAAGGGAGAAGAAGGAAAGTCAGCATGGATTTTTTTATTCTGCCTCACCAAATCATTGCACAATGTGAATTCTTAGGGCAAAGCAACTGTCATTTTTGCTTTGAAAGTAGTAGACAATGTGCCCTGGGAAATTCCATTATGTATTTGAAAATGATGTTTCTTTGTTCAGTTTTTAATTACTCCTTGTAGGAGATTAAAGGAAGAACAATGAAGGGAGAGTTTGAGCCTGGGGCCCTCTCTCGCTCTCATCCTAGATAGAATTCTTGAGGCCCAGTAATGTCTGAACAGGTCAGATCTTGATAGTACATTTAAATCAGTGCAGTCTGACCTGATGTGATGTAAAGTAAGATTCCAAGACTCAAGTTACTCAAGAATTGTTTTATCCCCACTCAGGGCCTTTCCTGAACAGACAATGATACTACAGGGTATCTATAGGACCATGTGCTTCCATATCAGCCTCCTTGCACAAGATCTACATCAGAAACATTACTCCAAGTACCTCCACCTTCAGAGATTCAATGAATGGGGACTGGTTTTCTTGGTGGTGGTGCCCCAGTTGTGGTACTGTCTCCCCAGAGATACTTAGCTGGCATATCCTTTGTCAGTTTCCAAGTGCCAGATGGCTACAGTTTTATTCACCTGAGCATTTAATGAGTGATCTACATTTTCTTCTATGACATATATCTACCACTACTCTGAAGTAGAGTGTGGTAGGCCTTAAAAATGTCTGCATCATATGACATCATGGGACATCTTCTTGTGCTCAGCACTAACACAGGGGTCTCCCTTCAGCATTTCAGCTTGACCCTAGGCTTTCTCTTTTAACTGCCAACATTGAATACATGCTCAAGTCAAGCAACCATAATAGGTAAGAAGATGCTGTTACATTGGGTTTACAGGCTATGAAGATGGGGAAGCAGGTAGGAGAATTTTCTGTCAAACTCACGAGTCCATATGTAGAGGGGTGCCGTAGTAAAGCTCTCAGCAGGATGGTCTTCAGGACTCAGGCCACTCAAGGTCCACACATGGATAATATACTTCTGCCCTGGCTGTAGGTCCCTATTGCAAAGAAGATTACATATGCTGGGCAAATCCCAATCATAATTACATGCTGTGATTTTGGAAGAAAGAACAAGCTATACCTTATTGACATCTGGTGAGTCAGAGACTCACATAACACTTTCTACTCAGAAAAAAGTGAACAAAATATCTACTGTGAACAGAGAGCAGTTGAGTACATGACGCAAATATCTGAAAGCAATGGCAAATCCAGACTCCTTAATAAACCTTTCAAGCTAGAGAAAACAAATTATTTTTAATGGGAATTGAAACCAATTAGAAAGCCAATTTTTACGACAGAGGTGACAATTTGGAGCTTTCTGAAATTGTTTCCTGCCTGTTTCACTGGCCCAGCTTGTCCTTCGGACTGCCAGTCTTCTATTCAAAATGTCTGCAGTTTGTCTTTGGGGGGGACATTCATGTCAAGAAAAACATATTTTCAAGTCTTCTGCTGTAATCTCTAAAGGAAGAACACAAGGGAGCATGGGGAAGAGAACTGTGTGGCCCAGAAGCTCAAAACTTCATCTGTTCTCTTCTGCTGATGGGCCTCCCCCTTTCCCCCAAATCACAGCTGACCATCAAAGCAACAGGCTGCAACTAGACCTACTTTGTCATAGACAGTCAGAACTGCCTCCCCTTCCCTCATTCCCCAGAAAACTCTTGCTTCTTACTCACCAGAATGTGTACTTGGTCACAGTATTGTTTACTTCTGCAGCATGGTCCTCCGCATCTTCTGGCTGGCGTATGGACAAACGCACCCTGCTCACTGAGGAGTGTTTGAGCCTGTGGAGTGCCCATTGTACAGTAATGGTTGTGGCAGTCACATTGGCAATCTCAAATCCCTCCACCTTGCGAGGCCCTGACAGGATGAGAGAGAGGAAATGCGGGGGGTGGTTACAACTCATTCCACTTGACAGTGACACACTCACTTTATCCTCCTGGACAAGCACTGCCCCTGGAGGCCTCCTTCCCATCTCAGTTGCTTCCTACAGAAGAAAAATGTTAGACTGGGCTTCTGACAGGACTATTTTAACAGACGGCCCCTTCCTCATGGGGAGTACTGTATGTGGCATTTTGTAACCTCACCAGACCTTTCTGTTCCTGGGAAGCATTTTAGTCTATTGTCAGAATCCCCCATAAGACATACAAGTGACAGCTGTCAGGCTCAGTTTCATAGCAAACCTGGTCAGGGATGAACCACACAAATGTTAAAAAATCACTCTTATGTTTCCATTCAGCGCAGTACCACACAGCTTTAAAAACAAGGTGAAACTAGTCTGTTAACTACCTACTTAGTATCACATCACAGAGAGAAGAATGTGATCACAGTTCATAGAAAAAAGAAAAATCCCCTCCTCCAAAGAAAACTGTCAGAAGACACTAGATCATGCTTCTTATGACTATTTACTGCTTTTATGCAGTCTCATCGCAGTGCCAAAGAGAAGGGTTCTACTATGAACCAAAGGCAATATGGAACCAGTTGTTAACAGCAGATAACAAGGGACTGTATGGTACCTTTCCAGACAGATAATGGATGAGCCTCTTTCTCTAACGGACGGCTCTGCACATAGCTAAGAGGAGTAGTAGGATATAGCCCACAATGTTCCCATGAAGCATGAAATTAGACCCTATGATCCACATGCAGGCTAACCCATGGATTGGAAGTTTTCTGCTTCACCCTTTCACTGTAACCCCTGCACACATCTGAAACATTGCCCCCCAGGGTTCAAGGGACTCAAAGGAATAGGGTTGCAGTGGCAGAGAACAGCTTGGTAAAAATCCACCCCCATCCTCCCACAGTGAAAGTGCCCTTGTGCCAGTGGAAATAAACCAATCTGTGCTCTGCTTAAAATAGTATTACCAGATGATCACTTGACAGCATAAGAAAGTGCCTGACAAATACAATCTGCAACTAAAGCTCCATTAAGAAGGCAGCTTTCCCCCACAGTTCATTAACTGTTACCGCACTAAATCTGTAGGGAAGTACCCAAACAAAAGGATGCCATGGAAGTACATTATCACAGTCTAGTTTGGTATGTGTCACTCTCCTATTCCTGTTTGTTCCTAGTCTGCAGTTTGGACTAGCAGCATCCAGCATATGAATTGGCATAGACTCCATGTGGTTAGCATGATACATGAAAAGACATCCACCTAGAAATGCCTTAAGGAGTAGATTTGTACACTGATTACAATAGCTTTCAGTAAGAACTTTCATACTTAACTCTCATTGGGCAATACACACAACAAATAAATAAAATATAAAGAAGCAAGATTTTCTTTTGCAAACACTTGAGTGATTATTTTCTGTGTTGTGGCTACTTTTTTGATTAAGTAGATACAGTTTCGACTTACAAATTCGTTTCGGCAAACACTGACTTTTATAATTGGTTGCTACAAGATAATCAGTATAAGGAAAGCAAGATGATATTTATGCAGCCATTTTCCTTGCAGTTTTTTTTTGTTCCTATAGCACTTCATCTATTGCTTAATTGTTGCAGGCCAATGTTCTTGAGATATTTTTTTTTGCTATGTGACAGTAACGACCTTGGATAGGCCCAGAGGATGTTCCTGCCATCACATAGTATTCTGTTGTTTTGTATTAATGGGAGGAACCCTGGAAAGACTCCTGGTAATAAAGCCCTCATTGCTTCATTTCTGTACCTAGAGCTCTATTTCCTTGAAGGAACTACTCACTAGTACGAGTGACGAGCATGACGGGCTTGCTGATATCATTCTTGTTGTTCAAGTTGCGTTTGACTGAAAAGACAGAAATATTGTAGACTTTGCCGGAGGCTAGTGCCCGCAATTGGTGGGCAGCACGACTTCGGTCCACATAATCAGTCCTGCGGTAAGAGCCGTCGAAGGATACGTACGTCACGGCGTAGCCATCAATCATATTCTTGGCGGTTTGGTCCTTGGGAGGGCGCCAAGAGATTGACAGCCCAGTCTCCTCCCCTCTTTCCACCTTTAGTGACGTTGGTGGCAGCAGCTCTTCCAGGTGTCAGGTAAAACAAACAGAATGGACATAATTAAACTTTGAGGAACACCGTTTCCTTATTTCCACCATTAAAATATTCCTAGAAGAGGAAGCAGGTAAGGTACAGTTTAATAAGGGTGTGCTTTCGGATCTTCTTGAGCTGAAAATGTACTTGAAAAATATCATGACCTTTCAGGTATATTTCATCATCCCAGAAGTATCCAGGATTTTTTGGGAAAACCAGGAAAAAAACTCTGAAAAAATCCTGGCTATTTTCAGAAACCAGGAAGATCGGGAAAAACAGCCAAGAGGCAGGGAGACTGCTCCCCGCCTCTCAGCTGTTTCCCCCAATTTCTTTTGCAGTTCCTTTAAACCAGGCTGGTTTAAAGGGACTGCAGAAAAATCAGGGAAAACAGCTGAGAGGCAAGGAGCAGTCTCCCTGCCTCTCAGCTGTTTTCCTCGATCTTCCTGGTTCCTGGGAAAACAGCTGAGAAGTGGGGAGACTGCTTCCCACCTCTCAGCTGTTTCCCCTGACTTCTGCAGTCCCTTTAAACCAGCCCCTTTAAACCGGGGAAAACAGCTGAGGCAGGGAGATTACTCCCCACCTCTCAGCTGTTTAATCCTGCTTTCTTTTGCAGTCTCTTTAAAACAGCCTGGTTTAAAGAGACTGCAGAAGAAATCAGGAGAGGTGGTGTTTTCACTTCAGCTGTGTTTTGCGGCTTTGCCACTCTTCTGCCCCCCCCCCCCCCCCACTTCCTCTCTATGCAATTTCATCTCAGGTCTATTGGACCTGGGAAAAATTGGGATTTCTGAAAAATCCTGGATTCACATACTTTGCTGGTATTGGGATCTGGGATTTTTCAGAAATTCCAAAATGTTGGGGGGGTCCAATAGACCTGAACTGGAAAAAAAAATTGCACACCCCTACAGTTTAATGCAGTCAGATGCAACAAAATGTTAAATATCTGATATGTTACAAATATCAAGCTGATATTATTTCTTCTTTCGGTTTTAAAAGAAAATTGAAAAAATAGAACTCCATTGGTCAATTAATTCTTCTCAAGGCCAGGTCACATGCTTATCCAGGCTAAAGATTCTCATGCCATGGTGAAGCAGCAGATGGGCATGCTCTTGTCTATCAAACTTATAGCATAGAATCATGTGATATCTCTCTTTTTTTTTTTAAAAAAAAAGGAAGCATCACAGTTTGGATTTCTGTGAATATGGATAGCCACTTAGACACTTATGGCTCATGAATATGGTGGGTGGGGAGAGGATATCCAGCAATGGCAGCCTATACATTGAGAGTACAACCTCAAGGAGTTGCTTGTCCCATTCAAGGCCAATAAAATAAAATAACTGCACTGCTTATTTGGCATCTACCATGTCCTTAAGTCAACATGGTTAACAGCAACTATCTCAAACAATGATGGGAATGGCCTTTGGGTCTGTTTACCTTTCTCACAGTTCTTGCCAGTGTAGCCCGCTTTGCAGGTGCAGTTGTGAGATCCATTGCTGGGAAGACAGTAGCCTCTGCTCCCACACGGGTTGGAGAAACAAGGGTCACTAGCTGGGGAGGAGGGTCAAAATTAACACTTCAGAACGGCACTTCTTAAGAACAATGCAGGCTTCCCAAAGAAGGCATGGAAGTTTGTCAGAGGTAGCTCGAACGCCTCCACAAAAAGGCTTATTTGCTTATTTTCAGCATCTAGTTTGTCTGGAAGCAAAATGCCCATGAGAAATTTTGAAGATAATAAAAAGTTACTTCCCAGGTTTTTTTTTGTTGTTGTTGAAGTATTAGGTTTTCTGTTTTGTTATCTACCATTTTCTGGGACTCACACAGATAGCAACTGTTTTCTGTTCTTACCTATTTCACAGTGGTAGCCAAAGAAGCCCTCCGGGCAGACACACAGGTAGGAACCACTGTAATTTTCACATTCTCCTCCATTCCGACATGGGTTTGATTCACAGGCATCCACTTCTGGAGGGCACAAATACACTCACTCAGATATCTGTAGGAGGTGTCACATGGAATTAAGAGGATGACTGCATCTGGTAGAATATCCCTTGCAAAGATGCCTGCTGAAGTGCAGTGCATAACCTCCCAGTGCAAACCTCCCCAGGGCCACCAAACCATTCATTTCTCTCCCCAGCAAACATGAAATGTGGATGAAAGTCAAGATAGAAAGCAGCACAATTCCAGGTGTGAGATATATGCAGCAAACATGACAACATGTGCGTGTGCATGTGTGCGCTACTTTCTATCTTCAATATCTTGGCTTTCAATAATAAATTCTGATAAATAGAAACTGTTCCTTTGAGATAAGAGAAAGCACTGGGAGGTCCAGTTTTGGCCATCCTGAACAACATGTCATTTGTCTGTCAGATAAATGAGCTCTCAGAGGTTACAAACACAAGCATCTTTAGGCAGAAAGTTAAGAACTTGAGTTAAGAAAAGTAAATTGAAAGCAACACTGAAATGTGCCAAAGGGCTGGGCTGAGACCATGATGAAGACTAATCTGTAGCTGTAAAGCTGCATTTTATGAGTGGACTGGAAATCCTAACCCTGTTAAAGAATTTATAAGCTGTTCACAGACATCCTTCTGTCCCCCTCCTTTCCTTTTCTATCCAAGAGGCAGAGCTCATTAATCCAGGTCATTCTGCAATTTCGAAATTGCTTGAGAACCATTTCTTCTAATAGCAAACACTATAGTTCCATACAAACAGGACAAGGCAGACAAGGTAGGTATTTCTACATACCCTGGTAATATACCCACAAATAGTTTTTTTGGGGAAAATACAAACTGGAGACGAGAGACACTCATAATAAAAAGCCCTTGGGCACAAAACCCTGTCACAGAAACACATTGTTTAGAAGAAAGATTCAGGTGGGTAGCTGTGTTGCTCTGAAGCAACAGAACAAAGTTTGAGTCTGGTGGCACCTTTAAGACCAACAAGGTTTAATTTCAGGTATCAGCTTTCATGTTGGGCTTGAAGGTGCTGCTGGACTCAAACTTTATTCTAACATTTAGAGGAGTTCAATATAGTGAACTCTTCTACAGGACTCCTATAATGATGAAAGCAGGGTTACTAAAGAATCACCTTGCACTGAAAGGAAAGAAGGCAACAGCATGAATATGGTGCCCACCATCCAGCTCCTAGAGATTCTAACAGAGGAGACACATTCCCTTTCCATCTGGCACCACACAGCTATTTACAAAGAGCAAGCAAAAGTATATGCTTAAGTTGTTAATTATGCTATGATAGGCATGAAAGGTAGCTAATGCAAAACAAGTCTTTGAATACCATTATTTATACTGCACGTTGTCTTGGGTGTATCTTAAGGGGAAAGGCAGTGCATAAATACAATAAATAAATAAAGGTGGGAGCCCCCCACACAGCCACTGTTCTTTGTTGAAGGACTGATCTGCAGTTTGCTGGAATTGAAATTGTGATTTCACACAGCACTTTCTATATTTCTCACTATACACTTACTTCCAAAGTAAATTCCCCTTCTGTACCTCCCTGCAATGTTCCTTTTGTTCCTTGGCTTTCAGCTTAATGAATTATTAATGAAGATTAATAAAATAACTCTTTCAAAGTAATACAATTATGATAAATATAACTGTTTTGTTTTTATTATGGGTAATAACGTTAGGTTTTGTCTTTTTAAATGAACAGTGGTTTTGGCTGACCACAAAGTGAAAAACAGTATGTGCCCTCTGGCCAGCTAGTCATATACAATTGATTCAGGAATGTTCCCAGAAAAAATGGGGTGAGCTCAGAAAATGTCCTTCTCCATGCTGTGCTGTTCAGCTTCAAGGCTTACTGTGGAGCTAGTCACAACACACTCGTCCCCCAGTCTACAGCGCTGTCAGTGCCATCCATCCCAGGAGAGTTATAACCCAAGTCCATTGAAGTCAATGGGCTTAGAAGGGTGTAATTCTGCTTAGGATGACACTGTGTAGTGCTTAGGTTATGTGCAGGCTGCACTGTTATCCAACCTGCTGTGAATTGTGCAAGGAAGAGAATTAAATCCCCATGTTGTAATGTTTCAGGCTGAAGACCAGCTTTGCTGCACAGCCAGCCTCTAAACCACCCCATTCTACACCCTTATAGCTTCCAGATTAATAACTACTGAGACAGCATGAGGAAGGAGGCAGATCTCCCTCCCACTACTACCACCACTTCCCCACCCCCATCTATGGTTGTGGGAGTAGAGAAAGTCTGAGTGTCCCTCCACACAGCCTCACGGGCTCCCAACTTGTAAATTCACACTCAACAACTAACACAGACCCTATTCATTAAGCAATTTTGAAAATATATTAATTTGCATAATTTAGTCGAAAGAATTTTGCATGTATGACAATACTAATCTTGAAGGTTTAATTGTTTGATTCAGTATAAGGCAGTTTCATGTGTGTAATGTCAAACGGGGTAAAGCTGGAAACACAAATGGGCTGAGAAGTCTACTGCAACTCCTTATAATTGTGTGTGAATCCATATATGCACGTGAGAATATGTATGCTTGAAGTGACTAGCCTCATAGCATAGCCAGGATCCACACTAATGTACAGAAATGGGAAGTGGTGAATAATAAGGGCACATTAGAATTGACTTCATTGGGTGGTCAGTCACCCTAAAGACTCATAGTGAGCTTGTCAGGTGGCCACTGCATACACTGTGTCATCTGAAATATACCTAGTTGGAAGATGTCAGTGTTGCAAGTCTTTAGATAGCATTTTCTAGGTCACAGAACTGTGGCAAGTTTCATTGTGCCACTGCTGGTCCACATGGGCTTAAGAAGCTCACACAGCTAGAATACAGCTGAACTGGTTGTAGGAAACATATTCCAAAGTAGGGGTGGGGGGAGAGAAACTGTGTCTTTATATGGCTGTGAATTCTAAAGATAAACAGCACCCAGAAATCAATAGTAAGAGAAAATGAAATTATCTACAACAGTGAGGACAATGGAATCTCTTAAGGATGTATGGGAGATTCCAGTTGAAAAAGTACTGAAAATCCCAATAAGAATCTTTATCAATTCCCCTTTTTACCCGTTTCACACTGGGTTCCAATGAAGCCCTCAGGACAATGACAGATAAATGAACCTGGCAGATCTTTACAGATTCCGCTGTTCTTGCAGGGGTCTGACTGACACTCATCAATCTCTGTGAATGGAAAAAGAGAGGGGGGGAAAGCTATAATGACTTTATAAGCACAATGTCATAATGAAAAGGAGGAACCAGAAGCAGATTCATTTAGTCACTGCTGGTGTAGTTAGTTCTTTTTAAAACTGTTATATCAACTTGTTTCAATAGCTATTTTTTAATTTGTTATTTGTTAAACATCTTGAGCAGGTCTCTGGAACAACATACAGATTAAGTTGTTAAATAAAAGGGTATCCTCACAAGGCTGTTATATGAGGATAAATGAGAAGAATTTGTATTTTTAGAATAAAAAGTACTGTAGACATTAGTAACAACCATTGAGTTAGATCCAGACTAGACATTTCCATGGGTGCAAGGATTTTCACTCACAGAGAATGATTTTCCTGCCTCCCCATTCCCACAGCACTCTGAAATATGCTCCCCCCCCAAAAAAAATCCTGTTCTTGGGGAAGCGGGGGAGGGGGGCATCCCCAGGAACAAGATTTTGAGGAAGCATTTCAGGCTGCTTAGATTGGGGGGGGGGAGATGGGGGAAAACACTTTGTGAGCAGAAATCCTTGTGTCTGTGGAAACGTTAGTCCGCAACGTATCCAAGTCATCTACTTATTATAAACGTACTCTTAAAAATTTCCCTTTCGGTTAACTGATTTGCTGCTTTTAACAGAGAAAGGCACTACCTTACAGTACTTTATTCGTTAATAAGCGGTTCTTTCTATTCCTTTCAGAACACAAGGTTTTCTATGTCAATTGTATTAAGGGTTTGTTTTTCTTTATTTCTTTTATCTGAGAAAAGGGCTTTATTTTTCTGTGTGAAAATACAATGGCAAGTTATGCGGTCCTTCCCTGTGGCTCTGTTCAGAGAGTTTAAAGAAAACACTCTCATGAAAGAGATTACTGATCATCCAGCACCAGCCTTTGCCAATTTCCCCTCCTGCTCATAGAGGCCTGCTACAGAGAAACAAGATAATGCTATCGAGCCGTGCAACTGAAATCATTAAAAAATAAACCATTTTCTCTTTCCAATATTTTCACCAGATTTTCAAGAGTAAAGTGTTGGGACGCAAGCACTGCATCTCTTGAAACGACTTGGGCATGTTGGTCATATTATGAGCTGCATACAGACAATATTTCTGCAGACACAAGAATATCTACCCACAAAACATGATTTTCTTGCGTTCTCCACTCCTGCAGCAGCATCAAATGCCCCACCAAATCCTGTCCCTGAAGAAGAGAGGACCCTGAAAAACAGAATTTCAGGGGGTGTTTTGAGCTGCTGTGGGAGGCGGGAAAAATCATACTCTGTGGGCAGAAGTCCTTGCGGAAACAGCAGTCTGGATCCAAATCGATACTTCATCCACTGTCACTATATATGACAATTATTCGTTTTCAGTTTGCTTTGGTATACACTGGACAATGATGTCCAGCAGCACTCTTTTTAATATAGCAGATCAATGCACCCTTACAAAGGCAACAAAAAAGCCTTTCCTCTCCAATTCTCATTATGTAATTAATTAATTATACATTTGTTTGAAGCTGTAAGAGGAGGGTTGCCAGCTCTGGGTTGGGGAAATACTTGGAGATTTAGGAGGTGGAGCCTCTTTGTCAACCCTATGTAAGAGAGAGAGAGAGAGAGAGAGTATCCAAAGGACACCCTCTACCTTTACTTGGAAAAAATAATTTCCATTCAGCAAAAGTTTCCACTTGACCATCCAAATTTCCTCTTGTTCCTTTGTTGCATAGTGGCTGGTTACAGTATTCATGAATTAGTAACTATTAGTTCTTAGGGGATTTCTGGGGAAGGGGGAGGCAGAAGAATTATTTTCACTTTGCGAGTGAAGCTACTGCTCATTTTATATTTTTTATTGTTGAACTTTCACGATAGTACTATAACAATCACAAAAAATAAAATAAAAAATAACAGTGGTTTTGCCAGAACCAAGTAAAAAACAGTAATTAATATCTCTGCACCTAAACTGATAATTAACACTTCATGAATGTTGCAGTTGACTGCAGGAGAGAACAGAAAAAATGAAACAGAAAGCAAAAGGAAAGAGGGAAAAAATTAAAGGGGCTACAGCCCTGAGAAACCTTAGCATGTTGGCTGTCCATGCAGGGCAACCTGGTGCTGCAACTGCATTTATGTTTAAAGAACTCAGGTCAGGAGGACACTGGGTTGCCAAGAGTGTCCTTTAAAACTGAGTGAATGATTTATGGCAATTCCAAACTGAACAAGTAGTGTAGGCATGCCCCTTGCTCATAAATACGGTTGCCAAGTCTACTTACCTTGGCGGCGGGGGAGCCTCGCTGGGCTCCGGGAGCTCTCTGGCGATCCGCCAGCATGTCACAGGAAGTGACACGCTACATCACTCCCATTGGGGGTGTGGCCACGATGGTCGGAGGGGTTTCCCCTCCGATGATCGGGGCCACACCCCCAATGTGAGCGATGTGGTTGCGTCACCGCTGGTGACGCAACCGCGCTGCACTTTGGGGGGCGGAGTTCCCCCCGGGGCCCGATTCCGCGGTGGCGGAAATCGGGCCTCCAAAGCGGGGGTTTACCCGCCACTCGCCCCCACTTGGCAGCCCTACTCATAAAGTACAATGAAAACTACCCATTACAAATGCCTGGATTTTGCTAAAAGTTAAAATCTTTGGTTCACATATCATTGGGGTTCCAAAGATAAGGCGTTTTGTGCTTAGACCTTCTTTCTTTTTTAATTATAGAAACCTGCTCAAAATTCTCTTCCAGATGTGGACAGGATCCAACTCCATCCACTGGCCTTTAGCTGAATATTCAATCCAATAAAAACTATTCCATTCCTCATAGTCATTTATATCAGCATCACTTCTTCTTTTGCCCTTCCCACTATGTTCTCATTCTTTCATTCCCAACTCAAGGGAGCTCTCACATTAGAATCTCTGTCGTCCACCACCAGGATGGAAGGACAGCTTGCCGTGAGAACGCTTCTTTGCACTGCAGCTGGTTTAATGAAATCTCTATGCTTTTCAGTGGACCCTACTTTTCAGACAGCTGTGTAGTTAAGCAACCACCATAAAACTAGTAAGGCCCCCTCACTGAAGTTTCCTTGGTCCCTACTTGAACAGCAATGGGAGCCGAAGCTAGGCAAGCTGGGAAAGCCGCCACCTAGAAAGAGGCCTATATAATCTCCCCACATTCTACATTGCATCCACTTCACAACTCCCCTCCCCAGGCCCCATCCACAATTGAAACAAGGCCTAAGTATGTGTAACTGGAAAAGTTTATATGACTGCGCATGCTCATATTCTTCCCTTGCATCTCTGTTTCCTCTTTCTTTGTTCTACTCCCCTCACACACATATCCCAGGTCAAAGTTTACATTGTAAACTCCTTGCAACAGGATTTTTCTTTTTGGTTATGTCACTGTAAAGCATACTGTTAACACTGATGGCTTATATTAGTAACATCATCATGATGAGATGCCCTGGCAAACATATTTCCACATTCTCTTACCCAACTCACAGTGGTGTCCTGTGTAGCCAGCTTTGCATAAGCACAGGAAAGCAGCTATTCGATCTTTACATGAGCCCCCATTCAGGCATGGCTGGGATCTGCATTCATCAATTTCTACAAGAGATGGCAGAAGGGTACCTATCATCTATCTGGAATTGAAGGTTTGAGGAAAGCATCCCCCTTTAAAAAAGCTATTTCCCCCTCAAAATTGTATTATGTACAAAGGTATATATAAAAAGCCAACACACAAGAATTGGTGCATTTTAGAAACAAACCCCTTGAGCCATAGTATGGCAAGGGAACACATCTGAAGAAAACTCACACAGACACAAAATTCATTTCAAGCAGAGACACAATTTAACTGGAGATACGGAAGGCAGAGGTACCCATGGAAGTATTGTTAAGGGCCAGAAATGTCAATGTTAAGCCAAATGTATATTAGGTACCACTACTTAAAAAGGTAAAGGTTCCCTTGCTCGAAAGCCAGTCGAATCCGACTCTAGGTTTGCGGTGCTCATCTCCATTCCAGAGCCGAAGAGCCAGCGCTGTCCAAAGACGTTTCCGTGGTCATGTGGCCGGCATGACTAAATACCAAGGTGCACGGAACGCTGTTACCTTCCCACCGAAGTGGTACCTATTTATCTACTCCGTCTTGCGGCACCCGGGTCTCGAACTGCTGAATTACTGACCTTCCACAGCCTGCAGTTCAGCGTCTTAACCACTTGAGCCACCGCACTACTTAAATGCCAATAAATTGCCCATTAGTCTCATACCGGTCTGTGGAGTTTGCTTCTTTTTCACAGCATGGTAAATTAACTCCACCCATATGTCAGCATTGTCTTGCTTAATATTCCTGTTTTTAATCATTTGTAAAAGCTTATTTGCAGAATAATTTTCTTGAGCTCTAAGAACACTATGGTTTCCAGGACAGAACACAGAGCCCAGGCTGTTAGCATCTTCAGTATGAAACATGCCGACAACAGGGCCCCCTCCTATTTATAACAAGTAAAAAAGCTTTAATCTCGCAAGGGAGGGTGAGATCTAAACAAATGAAGACTCTCCCCTCTCTTAGTGCCCACGTGAATGGTGTGCACCAACATATGGATTTCCCGGGGGGGGGGGGGGGAAAAAGAATGTCAATTTAAGAGCAGGCTGCAAGTCTGTGTGGCTCCCCCATGTGAACAGCTTGGTACTGGAGCCAAGGCCAGTTTATGATCTCTTTTCTCCTCCTCCACTACTAATCATTTGTTAATCCTGTGTGGCCTACATCACAGAAACCCTAAAAACAATTTTAAAAAGCAAAAGAAGAGCTAGTTCTGTTCAGTTTTTCCCACAGAATTCGGGCTGTATAGGCACTGTAGTTCTGCTGAATTCTCAAAGTCAGCAGGGATGACTGTTTGAAGTTCTGTGGCAATTACAGTTCAGGAAATTAAATATATTCTTTTCCTTTAATATGCACATATTCATTCACTCTCTCTCACACACAAACACACATTCTCACACAGCCATAAATCCATTTACCATTACACTCTGGAGGGTCACTCCAGGCACCTTGTTCTCTGCAAATCCTGGGGTTGCTGTGGGGACTCAACGTGTAGCCAAGATCACACTGATACTCTGCCAGAGATCCCATCTTAGTAGAGTTAAATGCCACCTGAGCATGCTTTATCTGATTGGGGATACCACAGTCTACCTCTAGAAGGAAAAAATGAGATAAAGGGAAGGAGAAAGATTATAGAGCAATTAATTTATTACACTGTTTATGTGTGGCATGGTGAATACCATTTATTCAATAAAAGGGTTTGTTTTGATGAGGTCACCAGCAAGGATGGAAGCACAGTTCTCCATGTATGCCCTAAAAGCACTTTCACTTTGGTACAGGAGAGATGCATGCTCTCATGATGCTCTTAAACAGTTTTGTTTCAGGAAAATATGGGTATTGCAGCCTTCAGGGAAATCTCATAGGGACCCAGTTCCTTTTTTTCCAGTGACAGGGGAAAGCTCTGATGTTTAAGCCTTTCTGTATTCTTTACCTGACTGACAGTGTCTTCCTGTGTAGCCAGCTGGACATGAGCAGATGTAGCTGTTGCCAAGATCCTTACAAGTGGCTCCATGTTCACATGGATTCAAGAGGCAAGGAGAAGGGGCTGCAAGAGAGAAGCCATCCCAATAACAGCTGTGAGACCATATGAGCCTAATGTTAAGAATGGACCCAAAATTCATAATTACCTGGGTCAGTACAAACATTTGACTAACTTATAAATCTTATTTATGTATTTATTATTTATTTATTATTTGATTTATACCCCGCCCTCCCCGCAAGCAGGCTCAGGGCGGCTTACAGTAATTGGTACCCTGTACCATAAAAACCATGTACAAAATTTATGACTGTATTAATTATCATTTGAACTGAGCATCATTTTAAAAAGCAAAAGAATTCTGGCTCAGAATGTCAAACAATATTTTGCATATGTTTAGTTCAGCA